GTGTCTTTTATTGTCCGTGAAAGAGCAGCGATCTCTCTACTCAGGGCATCGATCTTTAGGCTTACCTTCTGAGTCTTCTTGCTTTCTTCTGTCCTCAGAGCAGCAATCCTGGCGTCTTCCTCCTTGTGGAGAAACAGATGAAGCTTCCTGAACTGTTCCTTGATCCGTCCCTCGGTCTGTTGGGCCTGGAGCTTAATGTATTCAGCTGTCTGATCCAGGTTTCCCTTCTCTTCTTTGAACACCTTCAGTTTGTCCAGCAGCGGCCTCAGGGCCTTTCTCAGCTCATTTCTCCGACCCTGAGCTACTTCATTCACAGGTTGGAGTTTGTGTCCATAATGACCATCTGAATGCTGACAGACGAGACATAAAAGTTCCTCGTCATCCACACAGAACAGCTTGAATCTCTCACCATGCGGCCGGCAGAAAACCTCTGGTTTTGTAACTTCCTTCTTTCTTGTCAACAGGAATCTGTCACAGAGCATTTTTAAAGCCAGGTTGCATGGAGGGTCACTTGTAGTAGATTCTTCCTTACAAAGTGGACACTCCAGTTTCTTCTTCCCTTCCCACCAGCTTTTCAGGCATCGTCGACAGAAGCTGTGGCTGCAGAACAAGACAACTGGATCCCTGTAAACGTCCTGGCAGACGGGACAACAGAGGTCCTCCTCCACTCTGAGAGACATTGCTTCTCGTCTTTTCAGTTAAAACTCAATCCAACAGTTTACCAATCACACATACATACACTAGAGCAGTGCTGGCTGTAAAACTCTCATCAGTGCTGAGGTGTTTCCTGCTCTGTGCGTCCTCTCAGTGGATCTTGTCAGGTGGAGTTAGTTTGAACCATGCAGGCTGTTCTTGTGTTCATGCTGATGAGGAAGATGTGTGTTTACTGGCAAACCTCCGGTATGAAGAGCAGGGTGGAGCTTTTGTCTTCATCAACAAAGTCCTTATCCAGAGAGATTTGTTAGAGCAGCAACTATGAATACATGGTATGGCTCAGCTTTGAGGCATTTCAGATTTTATGGCCGTGTTTCTTTAAATCAAAGTCACTTCCTAAGAACTCTGACAGTGATTTTGTGTCAGAGCTGGGAAAGCCTGAAGAGCTTTTTATGTTGTTTTACCAACTAGCAGCCAACCCAGTTACTTACATTCAGTCTGAGCCTTTAAAATTCAGAGCACTTTTATAGAAAGACATTATTTTGACAGAAAGGGTTAATTTTCTTCATTTAGGTAATTAAGATAATTTTATTTATATAGCACATTTTCAGCAACAAGACAATTCAAAGTGCTTGAATTGCACTTTGCAATTTGTTACTGATCAATGCTGTTATAAAAAAATACAGTAAAACTGGGGTTAAACACAACAGCCTGTTGTTTTTACAGCCACATTTTTATCAGATGGAAACAAAGATTGGTTTCCTGCATAAGTGTTTATCTTCGATCTCTGGTTTCTTCATGACTGCTTAAAATGTGACTTCATGTCAACAGGACTGACAGCTTTTCATCTCGACAAAACCAAAAGATGTGGCTGTTCTCACAGGACGCAACGTAAAATAGAAATCACTTTAAATGTATGAGGAGATATGCACAAAACCTGACTGGTTCCAGTTCTTTGCTTATTTATTTCCATCACTTTGGATCACTTAAATCTGCTTATGTTCAAATGTTTATGAAAACAGAATCTCATAAAGTGTTTTTCAGAAATTGAATACTGGAAGCTGTTTTCCCAGAAGGCAAAGACCAGTCAGAAAGTATGTTCCCACACATGGCTGAAGGTATTTATGAAATATTTATCACATCCAGTAACTGGGTTACATGACATGCACAGAAAATATCTGCTAACAGGGAGCGTCGCTGCACCACAGGAGAGATGACGTGTGTGTTGGAAAAGTATCAGGAATAGTTATATGATGATGGAAAATTATTGATCACTACAGCTGAATTGGTTGTCTGCATAATTTCACTGTTTTAGGTGAAACACAAATCTTTACTGATCACCAGACGGGGATGTGGCCTGTGCTGATCAATCATTTCCAGTTAAACAGGCTAAACTCAGATTCAGGTCTGCAGACCCGACCAGCTGCCTTCCTCTGGAAACATCCTGTTGCAGTTTTCCAGCTCCTCTAACTGGGCTGCTGATGTTTTCCACATATGAAGCCATGCACACCTTGTTTTCCCTAAATTAGCCTACTCAGCATTCATTTTATTAGTATGCTATGTTTTTAATAGCAGCACAGTGTTATTTTCCTGACTGTGCAGCCTATTACTCTTATTTTTTACCTTTGTGTGAATCTGCATGCTCCCATTTTCCCTAACCATTTTCCACAATGACACCCACATTTTCCTGGCTGTGGGACAATAAAGAACATTTATTTTCTATTCATTCAGGCTTAGCTGGCCAGTATGAAAATCCAGGGTTGCATGAAGGATTAACTAATATTCAATAGTTTTCCCACAACAAACTGGACCTTTGTCTGCAGAAATGCTACAGAAAATCCTTTAAATGTAAAACTATGAAGCCCATGGCCCAGCCATGAGGAATCTAAATGACAAAACCAGCAACTTGTGGGCATTCATAACTACAGCAGCAAAGATGCACATTTGGTAGTTAAACAGTTAAAGGTGGAACTGCGAGGCTATTCTTAGATCCTGATCTGACACTGACATGTTAAAGGACGAGCCGGGACACATGTTGGCATGCTGCCCACAAACATTAAAAGGTATGAAGTCAGACCAGATGAAACATTCCTGAACAGAAAACAAAGAGCTGGAGGGAAACCTGGTCTGCTTCCAAAAACTGAAATGATCACATCAGGAATCTGTCAATTAGTCCTGGGAGAAACAAAAGACTAAGAAATAAAAAAAAGACTGAGTGAGGATGTTATTTGATCAGTTGAGATCAGCAATGGAGTCTATGGAGGAAGGATCTGTGGCTATGCTGGTTTGTGCATATGGGACGCAGCCATCTGCCAGTGAGGCAGCGCTGCAGTTCAGTTCCTCTAACAGTGAAGAAAAAAGTTGGGATGTACCAAACAGCGCCCAAGAGCGCCACCACAGACATGGATACGTAGACGACTCATTGGGCCGGTCACAGCATCCGCCATATTGAATGTGGCATGTCTGCCAGTAAGCCAATACAAGTAAATGGACCAAACTTCATGAGGCACCGTTCCACAAAGTATTTTAAGCAAATGCCTGTTATTGACATGTTCTGTCAAATCAAAGAAAACTAAAGACATTTCTAACTATTTAAAGCGATTTAATTATTTTGGGGCAGACGGTGTGTCCGTCTACTATTTTTACTTAATATTCTATAATAACCAAAAAGAGAGATGTAACGTCTGTCATGACTATAGGTTAGCAAAAAACCCTACAAGTTACAGTGAAATACCGCCAGAATTAAGAGCCATATTGGTTTCCACAGTGAGCCTCCCAGGAACCCAAAGAGCTTCACGTTTTCATCTCCAGATAACTTTCAATAGTGAAAACTCAGTTACTCAGCCATGTTTTCACACAAGTAGTTTTAGCTCATCTATTATTGGACTTGGCACTAAAGGGTTTTAGTTAACTATAAACTCTTATGGCAGTTGCATACCAGCCAATATAGGCGTATATTG